TGAGCTGCTGGCGGCCTGCAGAGAGGAGTTCCACCGTCGTCTGAAGGTCTATCACGCGTGGAAGTCCAAGAACAAGAAGCGCAATGATGACGGAAGTGATCAGAGGGCTCCTAAATCTGTCACTGACTATGGTTGGTAGAAAGATTATTTCAAATATTATTACATTTAATGCTTAACCTGTGGATATTTGCTCAGCTCTGTATATTCACAAATACAGCACAATAAACATACTGTACATTTCACACATGCACACATCACCCCAAGCACATTAGGCTGCAGGTGACAAGTGTTTAGTCTCTCCACTTTCGCCTCTCGCTGTCATTGGCAGGAATGAATTACCTGCACGCACATAACCTCCCTGTGTTTCCTAACTTTCAATTAGCCGACAAACGCCAGGGCCTAAAAATGCAGCCGCCTTCTGTCTGGCTCTGTCAGAAATATTTGTTTTAATTAGCAAATAACTGCCAGCCATGCCTTGTCAGACTCAGTAGCTGCTAGTGTGACAGCTCGCCGCTTTGCTCAGTTCATTCTCAACCAAGCACAGGCTGTGCCACAAACAAACACACACACACACACACAAATGTTATTTAGCTGCTGGAAAGCTCACCAGTGCTCTGCTTTTCCCATCTTTTCATCTTGAAAACAAATATTACATTTGATGGGGAATGGGAGCATTAGATTCACTGTTGCTTCTACTTTCACTATATTTATTCGCCTTTCTCTTTTGATATGATAGTTACTGAAAGCCATACTGGCTGTGCTTTATTTACCTCATATTTGGATCCTGTTCTTGGCCTGTACTGATGCAGCAGGGGTCTTATCTAGGCCATTTCATAAGAGGCTAAAAGCTGCTTTACCCGGCTTTTCCATGTGATATTTCCTGGGTCCTCTTTGATCTTGTATGTTTTGAAAGGTTTATTACTGTTTTCTGCCACACTCATTGTGTTCGATGCTGTTAACAAAACATGTGTATTAAGGTTACATTTCTTTAAGACCAAATGACAGATGCTTTGTTGTGAATACTCTTTAAACCACAATCTTCACGTTGAATACAAATCAAATTTTCCAATCATCAAACTGCAGCTGAACAGAACCCGGCTCCTCCGATGACAGCCCAGCATCAGGAAGTGGCTATGAATCGCCAGCAACGATATTTCCGCATTCCTTTTATCCGGCCTGCGGACCAGTACAAAGATCCCCAGAATAAAAAGAAGGGCTGGTGGTACGCTCACTTTGATGGGCCCTGGATAGCCAGACAGATGGAGCTTCACCCAGACAAACGGCCTATTGTGCTGGTTGCAGGTGAGTCAACAGCTTTTGCTTTTTGTCGTATTAGAACAAACAGAGGATTTCTAGAAAATCCTGTATATGCGTTACTTGATATGACTATGCTATTATATTTATTATTGATTAAAATGTCCATTATTCATCATAAAGTCCTGTGGTTCCCAACCCCAACCCCATCTTGTGACCCCTTAAACCGAAGCAGTATCTACTTACCTCATCTCATGTTGCAGACTTAATGTGGACAAACACAATTGTTTGTTTTTAGATTGTTAAATTTGAATGATTTTTGAAGACTTGAATCATAAAAGTAACATAAAACATATTTTTGTGTGACAGAAATATTTGTTTCTTTTTGTTATCCCCTTCATGTGAATGTGGTCCTTAACACTAACCCCCAGGTTGAGAAAACTGTTTAGAAAAAAAGAAATCCATATGGCAGTTTTTCAGGGCCCAGGATAAAGTCATCTAATCACTTGTTTTGTCTAACATACAGTCCACAATCCAAATATATCAATGAATTTATGGATGATGAAACAGAAAAACACCCACTTTTAAGAAATTGTAACAACTTAAAGTTTTGCGTATCTATCTATGTAAAATAGTTTCAGCTCCATTGTATTCTGAATGTACAGGTGTGAGGTAGGTGAATAAACTGGATGACTCCAGTTCATGATAATGTTCACTCTGTCATTGTTTATTCTATTGTTTGGACAAGAGTTGTGAGCGGTTCAATTAAATCCTGTATTTTCCCTCCTTGCACTGTTTGATTTGAAGTATTTTTCGGGGACCTGGAACATAAAAGTATTTCAGTATTTCACAAGAAAAGAGGCCAAAATAAGAGAAAGGTCAGATAAATTGATAAAACATACTTTTGTGTAACTGAAATATTTTTCTTTTTATCTCTCTCATCACAATCCTCAGTCACTGTTGGGTTAGACTAAAAATGTCAGAAAAGAGTAAAAAAATTGTAAAGGTGAAGTCTTCCAGTCGCTTTTGTCTAACAAACAGTCCAAAACCCAAATATACCAAAGAATCAAAAGAAAGCAGATACATTCTTACAACTTAAAACTGCTTATGCTACTTTATATACTTGGTATACAGGTTTTGTATTGGAGTGAATGTACAGTTAATGGATGCAATGGATGTAGAAGTACGTGTCCTTTCAGTGAACCTCTGTCATTAAACCCTCAGGGAAAGATGATATGGAGATGTGTGAGCTGAGTCTGGAGGAGACGGGTCTGACCAGGAAGAGGGGCGCTGAGATCCTGCCCAGGCAGTTTGAGGAAATCTGGGAACGCTGTGATGGAATTCAGTACCTCAAGAAAGCCATTGAGAACAAGCAGGCCCGCCCCACACACGCCACCGCTATGCTTCAGAGTCTCCTCAAGTGAAACCAGAGCAGCAAGATAAGCACACAACCTCTAGTTCGGTCCCGAAACATGACACTGATACACAGACTCACACACATGCACGTTGAAGGGCAGCACGGTGTTCCTGTGGTTTGTGGGATGAAAAGAAATAACCACAGAGAGAGATGCTCCCCATACAATCTCACTGTAGGTTGTTTCATTCACTGAATCATCTCCTTTTCAAATACCTATATGTTGTTTATTTTCACTTTTTATATCTTTATTTGCTGTGTAACACCTTGCTGGTGTATCATTTATGTTCAGTCTTCTCCTCAATCTATGCTTGAATGGAAAATCCCACTGTGAGGCCTTTAATTGCAATATCACTGCACTACACCAAGGAAGTCTTAATAGGTGCGTAGCCTCTTTAGCTATTAACCTAAAACTTTAATGGTCTGCAATAAGGACAATACATTTGAGATAAAAACATGTAGAGATGCTTCTAAGTCTTTTAAGTCATGTTTTCTGGTCTTTTGGTCATTAATGCTCAACATAATTCAACATCTACATCGGATTTGATTAGTAAGAATTAAAAGGGACGATAAGAAATGCTTCTCTTCCTCGGTTTTCATCATAATATAATACAACTCAGAGACAGATCTATAGTTATATAATACTGTAGTTAATATATGTCACTGCTCCATCTACTACAGGTTTGACACATGAGAAATAAAATCTACATTTTAATAACTTTTTTATCACTCCCTACAGAATAACAACTACATATAGTCATAGAATGTATTTTTGCTCCCAGTATTTTTAAGAAAGATTCATTAATTTGAAGAAGTGCTGGGTCTACTATCTATCTCTTATTTTTTTTGCTGCGTATATACAACCCTGTGAAATGTTGAAATCCTTAAAAAAATTTATCATTTTTTTGTATTGTTCATTTGTTATGCAAGAGGGAAATGTAGAAGTTTGTTTCATGTTTGCAGTTTTGTGGGTTTGGGGTTGTTTTAGAGACAATTATGTGATTTGTGTGCGTGCGTGTGTTGTGCGTTTGTTCATGTAATATTTTATTAAGCTGATTACTTGACTCCTCTGTTGGTTAGGCCGGGGATATTTCAGTCATCTCATTGGACAATCATGCAGTACGTTTTATTTAGACTCACCCTTATTCACTGAAAGATACAGAAACTGTACTGTAACTATAACTAATGATTCACTTTCAAAGGCCCCCTCTTTGATCTGTTTGTATGTTGGCCTTTGCACTGGAATACTGTAGAAAATAAATGTGTGCCCCTATGGTCTTGACTGATTTTTGTTGTTACTATACTGTAGATAATTAACAAGTAGGAAAAATTTAGTTAATTCACAAAACTTAAGTAAGATAGCCATTAGTGGGTATTGCTGTGTAAATGGATCTGACATCCTAACGGTAACAGCAGCTAACGAGATTAGCATGTAATTAATTAAACAACAAAGGCTAATGTACTGCTGATGTCATCACAGAGCCAGGCTTGCTCCCATTAAGTGATCAGCTGGATTAAAACACTGGACTTAATGTTCCAGGGTGTAACATTTAAGAGGATCTATTGGGAGAAATTGAATATAATATTCATAGGTATGTTTTCATTAGTGTATAATCACCTGAAAATAAGGGGTTTAAGTTACTTTAGAATTAGTCCTTTTTACAGCGGGAGCAGGTCCTCTTCCATGGAGGCCGCCATGTTTACCCGCCATGTTTCTACAGTAGCTAGATGCTACTAAATCCTACACACTGGTACTTGAACAAGCTTTGAACAGTCAAAAACAAACGAAACATCACATTTTTTACGCAAAAAACATTTTATTCTTTGCTTTTAAATGCAAAACTGTGTAAAAAACAAGAAGTCCAAATCTCGAAAGACAAATAATTAGTGGGAAGAGATGTATTGAACAGGACAGACTGATGGAAATGTAGCTCAGCACAACAATATGTCACGATCCAAGTCAACAGCTTATACATTCATTCTCCTTTTGGGACACAACAATGGTTAAACATTAAAATAAACAACATTTTACAGTCTACGCTAAAGATACCACCATGTGTATCAGTTTGTAAATAATAAATACCTCATTGTGAGGAAAGAACAACCTTTGCCAAGGGTATACAGGAAATGTTCCTACCATTCAATATATGAAATAAATATTAGGTTCCACTTAACCTAAGTCCACCTTAATATCCATAGTCCTCTGTCTAACAAGACACAACCACTATGAACAATTAATCTCAACACTTTTAACACCATTTCGCTGGTCTACTGTACCATGCATCCATAAGCAGCAACTTCAGTCTCTGCTCCTCGGATAAACAGGGTGTCATCAAAGAACTGTTACTTCAAAACATTCGTTATCTGATGCCCTTAAAACACAGCATGTTCTGTATTCATTTGGCCGTCGCCACGTCTAGGAAGAGACAAGAGGGAGAATGAAAAATAGCTAACTTCGGGTTGGAATTATACAATAAATGACAGAATAACCTTGTAACTAAATCTAAAAGGCATTTGCTCTAAATAAATCTATCAAATATTTACTTAAACTCAAGAAAGGGACTATTTTTCATTGCAGAAGCTCTGATCAACACTGAGCACAGAGATTATTTCAAGGTTAATATTTGATTATTTTCCCAAAATGTATTTTTAGATAGAAGCTGTTGTTTAAATGTGCAAAAGTCAACTGTGATTTGGTTTGTAAGTGAAAAATCAGCCAGGGCTATAGTACAATACATGCACGGATGTTTTACCTTTGCACACATCATAGAGCTGTAAAATATTTTATGTAAAGGTTATTGTTATTGAATATCAGCAAGACTACCATACAGTAAGATAAAATGCTTATTGAACTACTGTAACTGTCCCTGAACATGCTTCATTGTCATATTGTTTCTGAATAAGTTCCATCATAGTGCCAAAAAGTCCCATAAATGATCCTCACCTCATTGTGTGGTATACAGTGATGGAAGTCCACCATTTCTGAGACTAACTTTTCTGATCTGGTTGTGTAGAGTTGTCTGGGGATCTGTGGAGACAGAGAGTAAACAGGCTCAGTATTTACAGTGTGCTTCATTAATAATATAGAACCAGAGGCACATCAACCAGATAAGCAGATGCAATGTGAATGAAAGCAGGCAGTACATCCAAGGATCTGCTGGAAAGATGAAAGATACTACTACAACTATAGGAGGTTATACCTATAGCAGCTACTGCAGAGTTCAGGGTTAAAACTATACACCTTTTGTTGGATTTGGCACAAAGCCTCTTCAAAGTTGTGGATCGTGTGTACCTTAAAAGGTCTGAACTGTGTTTGATTCTGAGGATACTCAAGGTACCCAACGCCCATGATCTACATTTCATTACCATTAAAGCCACACTGAACAGTTTTAAACATTTTTTAAATAATTTTTAACTGGATATGACTTGACTCAGTTTAATACTGATGCCCCTATATGACCTACATAAAGAAACAAGACCTTTAGTTAGACTATTTTTAATGCCTTCCACGATGTCGGATTCAGTCGGATTCCCCTTGAAGTTAATGAAACAAGGCGGTGGAAACACTACCGCTTTTGTCCACAGGGGACGCCAGAATCAACAAAAACCTCATTGCTGCTTTAAGTAATACTGATCCATGAGAAAGTTTGTCAGCTTTGATGGTGAATATAAATCTTTAAATACAAAACAAAGAAAAAAAAAAACCTATGGAGAATGTGAGCAAGTATTTGAGTTTGTAAGATGGAATTAGTTTATATTACTGTAGTTGAAGGTATGAGGTTAGTTAGTTTAGTCGGTTAAGTCTTTTGTGCTGTGCAGCACGTTGTACCTCAATACTCAGATGTATATTTTCAATTGAGGCAAAATGTTCTTGTTCAGACTGTTGGGATTGCGAAGAAGCAGAACTTGAAGGATATGGCAATGTAGATACTTGAGTTAAGACACCATCATCATTCTCAAACACTGGGTTCACCCTCAAAGTATTTTCAAAGGCATAGGGAGCAAGGGTGTGCCTACAACGCAAAGGAGACGAGGTGGTGAATAAGATAAGACACATGTCACAAATCACTGCAAAAGCGAAACACAAGAGGTTCTCATGAATAAAGGAGCTCGTACTTACACCAAAGTGACAGCCTTTCTGTTATTTACGCATTTCTTGTTAATGAAAATCAAAATGCCAATGACGGCACAAACAAGGCAGAGACTTCCCACGAGGCAGGTTACAATTAGCGGAGGATCTACCGGCATTGACACCAGCTCGTTGCAGCGTTCTCCATGGTAGTGCCAGTATTTACCTCCAGGGCATCTGAAAGAGATGAGAAAAAATATCTAGGTTAGAGAGAGGAAAGCTTTTTTTCACTTTGGCACAGGCACAAAAGGAATGCTAAGAAATGTACAGAAATATTTTCACATTCCAGGTTTTCCAATTCACACACTTTTTTTTTTTAAATGAACTGAAGCAATATCCTGTTTGAATAAGAGAATATAAAATAGAGGCAGATTGATCTTTAGATGCTTTTTCATTGTGACTTTAAAGAAACACTGCAGGTAATCTGACCTAATGCAGACAAGTAGACTAGAGTTTTGATTGGTTTTCGAACAGTACCGGTCGCTTCTCGATTTCAACTGTAAAAACCAGACATGAAAAACACTGAAGCGGTATATAAGAAGCTGTTCGACTTATTAGATTAATTTGTTATTTTCACTGACGTATGCTAAATCACTACATTTGCCAGATTAGTTAGCTGACATTCAATATTTAATAGTTGGCTGCTAAAAAGCAATAATAACTGAAAGAACTAATAGATATGCATGATCTGCTCCTCTGCTCTGATATTTGCTTCTGGGTGTAATAACATAGTTATGTTCCGTCTCAGCAGCCAACTCTCAAATCTTGATTGTCCTTGATTACACTATCAAAAAAGGGCTTTCAGTACAGTCCCTGCTTGTGCTTGCAACTGTATTACAGCACAATAAAGATGAAAAAACACTGATTTCCAGTCTCAAGCAAGTTTGAAGCCTTTGCAAGTTACAGAGGTGAAGACAATGGCTGTAAGACAGAAAGACAGAAAGGAATTTGTAAAAACCTCCTTCTGAATTTAGAGCATATCCACCTTCTCTGATTCAAAATGCTAAAACCTTTGAAAAAAAGCTGAGGTCACAATGTTTTCTTTCATTCGTCAGTTTTTGTGTACCTGCAGGTGGCTCCATGACCTGGGATTATTTCACACAGGCCTCCATTCAGACAGTAGTCTGGCTGCACAGCGCAGGTGCTCTGACATGGCAGGCCGTCCACGGTGCTGTAGCCCGGATCACACAGGCACTCAGCCTCATCGGTCCAACTGTTTACCACGCAGCGTGAAAACTCATTGCAGGCCAGGAACTTACAGGGGTCTGCTTGGTCAGCTGAAACCAACAGGAGGAGGAGAGAGGAGGAGGAGAGGAGAAGCAGAGGGGGGAGAGAGAGAGAGGTGTAGAAGAAATACGGACGAGAGAGGTGATAGCTCATTAACATTAATGCAGTGTCCACCTGTCTACAGTCAGAGGAGAAATTAAAGGGCATTCTGATTGATGTGAATGAAGGTGGCTGCTTTCAATAAGGTGTGTTTAATGAGGTCACATACAGTCGTGAACTCTGCCAAGCAAAAAGATGCATCAGATTTATCCTGCACCTCACCTACAGACTGTAAAAGACAGCAGAGGGAGGGTGTGTGTTATGAACAGGCACTCTGACCTTGTAGCATGAATGAGCATGTCACTGCAAGAACAGATTATGGATCTTTGTTTTTTTGTATGCATGAGGTGTCTGCATCCTGTAACCACACTGCAATTTTTTTTTTTGCTTTAAAACACAATTTTATAGGTGGAGGGGGTTAGGTTCGACACAAATAGAACAATTAGGACAATTAAGGACATTTCACCTGGTTCTACTTCCAAGGAGCGACTGTCAATCTCGATGTCAAGCCGTTTAGATGCTGCACTGCAGAAGTCTTCAAGCACACAGTGAACAGCTTCTGTGACATTATAAGGGACCGGTTTGTCCAATTTCATCCTGCTGTTTACAACAACGCTGCCGTTCCTGAAGTTGAGAATTTCCAGCTGCTTAAATCCCGTCAAATTGGATTGTAAATATGGCAGAAGCTGTAAGGAAGGAAGAGGGAAGCAAATTAATTTATATGAATTCTCTTTAAATGTATCATACTGAATATCAATTAAAAGGGTTAGTTTTATGTGCAGTCAGTGATCAGTGAGAAAAACAACTTATTTACAGCAGGAACATAAGAATACAGGGTTCCTGGAAAACAACACACAAGCAAGATTGATTCCATCTTAAAGGGTAAAAAGGGAATCATTCATTTCCACTTGGATGTTTAGGTTAATGAAATGATGTCAGTGTCAAGTGTCAGTAAAGACCCGTGTCCTCCTAAGAGGAAGACCAGGGCAGCAGAGACCCCATTTACTTATGGTTTTACTTCCACAACGACAGGACTGAGGTTGTCGTAGCACGGCTGATTTTGAATTATTCAGGTCACATTTTACAGTGTGAATGCTATGAATAGTTAATAATTAAATTTTGATGCAAGCATGAAATCCTGCCATTATTGCGCTTGACTGTAATTATCCAGAACAAAATTAGGGTTAGGTTTCTAAGCATAGGACGCAGGATGTACTAGCTCTAGTCACTGAAGAGGCTGCGAACACATGATAAAAAGATTAGGCCTTTGCATGACATCAAAGCTATCTCAAGTCCAAAAGAAATCTATAATATATGCTGTTTGGAGAAGGCTTTTATCTTAAGTGCCTAACAGTAACATAGGCCAAGTATCTCTACATTATCCCTGGACTGCCCTACAAAGCTGAAACTCAATAACTACATACAGCAGTTGGTCAAAAATGAGATAAGACCAGCACCTTTGACTTTATGACATCTGTTTAATCTTCAGTTATTATGTCATAGAAAAGTGGAGAAAAAGAACAGAGGTAAAAATCTAACTGACACTAGCTGGTGAGCTATCATTAGCTAACTAATTTAGACACTTTTTCCTTCCCTTTTACTGTAACTAAAAAAAGGCAGAAACAACATCTAATTATTATGAAGTACACTAGACCTAGTCCCACTAAGAGTGAACTAGCCTTAGCTAAATAGCAGTAACTGCCATCTCTGCAGTCTCTAACGATGGAATTAACATGATTTGACGTGGTTAAGCAAACACTAAATTCTTAATTAATTAAATATAATTAATGGGTTTTATATATACTGTAGACTGTGACAGCCATTAGCAATCAGTTGTAGCATACAGTTGTTCTCTCCCTCTCTTTAAGGGAGTACAGTACACACCACCACCTACACCTGGTTGAAAATGTGCAGTAGAAACTAATCTGTGCAGCCACATTTAAACTCATTCTTACAGTTTTCCACATTGTTGCATTTAAAAAATATTCCTGCAGACCTGCAGCTCAGATAACTCAGAAACCAATTTATCAAGACTATGGGTTTGGACTAATGACGGTGGTGATATTTAGGCGAGGAGGAAGTCCTCCAGCTCAAGTAATGGACCAGCATCAATGTCCATCGACATGTCCGCTCTCCTTCCAGCCACCTCACGTTCACTATAACGAGGCAAACACCAAACGGCCACAGTGTGAGAGGGAGAGATTGCAATGCTTTAGCTGGCCTGGCTGTCGAGCGGGAGATAAGAGGCCTTAAGGAGCTCTGCTCTGATCAGGTTACTTCACTTATCACTGGCAGACAGTTTACTGAGGGCTAGTTTACTATAGCTAATAGTCTCTGAGAAAAGAGAGGTTCCAACATCCCGAACAAATGGGCAACGGCCGGCAGTACAACTGGACACACAGCTTGCCGTTTGGTCATCCATTTGTCTCAATGCAGAATGTCAAGTATTGCAACCACACTGTAGATTAGATAGCAATTCGTAGCCTTCTACACAAGGTCAAAACCGACTTCTTACACAACAAAGCTCAGTGCAGTATGTATTGTGTACTATCGAACAATAGAGATACTGCATATTTATTTCTCGCCTTCTGCAAAGAAATGTCGACAGCATGGCACAAACACAACCATAATTTCAGTCTTTGACACAATCACACATGCTTCTCTGAGGTTACACATGTATCTACTGGTTCTTGTTTTGGAAAACCTGATAAAACATCCCTTCTCTGATGTCGAAAAAAAAAGTCACAAGGAACATTATGCTGCCATGAAAGCTAAATAAAATAAAGTCATTCCAACCTCCATGTCCAATTTTATTGGTTGCTTCACAAACCAGTAGGTACAGGAGTAATGGGGGAGTGTGGCAAAGGCAAACACGGGGAACTGCACGCCTCTGGAGGCTAATGGTTCATATATATGTGTGTCTATATATATATGAAAGACAGTGAATGTACATTATCACAAATGGGGTCCAGAAAAGCTTTACATTATGTCCATTTATATGGGCTGCAGAATGTATATTATTTGACATTTCTTCATTACATTTCCTGCTATTTGTCAGTGATTTCTAAATCAAGTTGGACCAGTTTGAAATATATATATATGTGTTCCCTTCTCTACCTCAATAGCCCATTTAAAGGAAGATAGGTTGACTATTCCTAATGTAATAGTGACAATAGACAGTAGACGGTAAATACTTACCAGTTCAAACGTCTGACCACATTAGTTTTGCCGGGAAGCTTAATACATCAATTAATGAGGAGAACTGCAGAAACCACAGTTTGGGCAACCATTAAAGATTGGAGATGGAGTGTTATTTGTATTGTTGCTTTGGATTTTTGTCTGTATTATGTATCAGCGTATGTAATTTGTGTCTTTGTATCCCTACTACTTCAAACTGTATTCTCTGATCCAGTGAAGACATTACAGTCCAATACTTGATTGGGAAAAATCTTTTTCAAAATACATAATAAATGGTTGAAAATTGTTGAGAAACATAACACCTTATTAACTATTTATCTTAACCCAGAAAGCTTGTTGCGTTCTATCAGAAAACTAAGCCCACATGGCCCAGTAGCTCACATTCCCTCTGCTCCTTGGCATTGCAGCAAACACACAATCCAATTTGTATCGATGCACCTCCTCGGTTTGAGGCTGAGACCTTTACGTAACACAGAGCGCAGGGCACCTCTGAGCCAGCCTAAAAATATGTCCCTTCCGTCAACCTCGGGGTAAGCCTTGAAACTAAATAAGGATGTCAAGTGATGCTTCTTGCTTAGATGTTCACTAATAGGTGCATGTTTAAAGAGACACGATTCTTATTTAAAAATTATTTAGACAAAAAGAGTAATGTCGCCAATTCCACCATTGATTACAAGTATGTGCACTGGGTTTACATATAAGTGCTCCAAAACAAAAAAGGACCTCGACCAATCTGTGATCTATTTTATTTCATTGTCAGAAATACAAGTATGTCTATAATACCAGTTACTACAACATGCATACAGATGTCCACAGAAACCGGACTGATGTCGCACTAAGCAGATTGGAACCATTAATAGCACAACGTGTGTGGTGCTGGAACCAACCAGAATTACTTAAAGCTTCTTACCACAAGTCACAAACCTCTGAGTCCTACAATGACTAAGGCAGACCCAGGTCTCATGATTCAGACTACCCTGGGCTAGTTTGTGCTCTACCGTGTACAAAGCGATACAGTTTTAGCAACACAAAATGCATAAAGCTGCATGGCTTTCCTATTAGGTTCTCTCTATGCCTGTTATCACATTGTTCTGCTCCACATTAAGTCATTTATTCACTCTGCAAGTTTATCTTTAAGGCTTCCAACATGCACAAACACACACTGGTCAATGTTGTAACACACATGTCAGCAACAAATGTACAAAAACATTCTTGAGTTTGTTGGTGAGAAACTCACTAGTCTAACTAAACACATAAACACACATTTAGTCCCACAACATATAGATAATCATCAGTGTATGCTCTATTATGATACAAAACATCTCTAGAGTTTATCAGAGCAGAGAGCTTGTTCTACAAAGAAATGATAACAGATGTATTGCTTCCAATGTTGTTCTTTAAAGGAATGGTTTAACATTTTGGGAAATTATCTAATTAGTCTTCTTGCCAAGAGTTATAAGGGAGTATTGATACTGATTCTGTCCACTTAATATAAGGCTACAGTTATATTAGCTTAGCATAAAGATTGGCAACAGGGAAATAAGTCACCTGGCTCTGTCCAAAAGGAACAAAATTCACCTACGAGCACTTCTAAAGCTCACTAAAGTTATTCTCATTTGATTAACCTGTAAAAAGGACTTACACATTGGACTATTTCTTAATCATTGTGAGATTTCCTGGCAATCAATGGCAATGCTATCAGACCACGAAGAGCTTTAGAAGTGCTGGTAGGAAGCAGGAACAAATAGACACAAACTGAGGTGGAGATGCTTTAATTGAGTTGAAAATGTCTCAACTATAGAGAGAAAGTTGTCCCAGGATGAATCTAATGCTAATTTGGTTGCTACTGCAGCGACCAGCTACTAACGGGATGAATTTTTACTCCACTTTCTGTCAGTTTAAGTTAATGCATATTTCCCAAAATGTTGGATTATTTATTTAGACCATTCTACTAGTTTACCTTTGTTGGTTCCTAAAACCTTAAAATTTCCACTGAATAGCAGAAGCCCAGAACTCCCTTGCAAACACATTTTTTTCAAAACGACTAGTTGAAATATGAGTCAAACAGAATCTGAACAGTCCCTTCAAAAGCCAAAACATTAGCACAATTCAAAAAATTAAGGCAAATCACACAACAACAGGCAATGTTAGAACCACACTCACAGATAAAACCAAGCTGCAGCAGGAAGGTCTAATGTCTAATGTAAGGACAAAAAAAAAAGCTAGAGTATTTCAGAAATGTTAGGTGCTTTCAGATTGTTAGATACTGCATTTCGGAAAGGTTAGTTAAGAAATAGAAAGGTCATGCTCTCTCTGAGGCATTGGAGATGTAGTTCCAATATGGAAGAAAAAAAAATACCGGTATGGAGGCTAAAGTCGTCTGTCTCCTAGGCCCAGATTTACTGGAAGCTCCAGGGTTTGGCGAGTTTCTGGACCCAGAGTGCTGTGTCTGAGTGAAACAGAATAATTCTTCATACTGTTGACACAATGGTTCCTTTAAAATTAAAGCATCAGCATACTGCAGATTTGATCAAGAATTTGGCGATTGCTTAAAATCGTATCACATTTTGTAACATTTTTATAAAAAATATAATTTATTGAAGAAAAAATACAAATTTATCATAATTTACTGTTAATGTCAGGTTTAAAAAAGCAAAAAGATAAGTGAGGATAAGGCTTACTGCAAAGTGCATCCTCACTTGTGCAGGGCAAAAAGATTTGGATAAAGCCCCAACTAAACAACTAACTCACTAAAATATCATCTGAAACTAAGTTCAACAGTATATATTGCACAAACGTGCTTCTGTCACATATTTCAGCTTGGTCTACAAAAGCAAATATGATAATGAAGCATGTAACAACATGATATCCAGCACAAAAGCTTGTGTACCTACCAGCTCAAGAAAGGTATTCTCCAGTGATTTATACTCTGGGGAGTTCTTGTTGAACAGGTCATCAGAAAACATCATGTTAGTGACCCTCAAGCTAAAGAAAACCACTAACTCTTTGTTCTTATCCATTATGGACATCAGAGGGGTGCTGGCTTGTCTCATGGCTGGTGCAGCTGTGGATTCATACGGACGTTCATCAGACTCTGAGGGGAATCCACTACCACTCTCTTCTTCCAGGGTTTCGGTCACTTCTACCTCCGTCTTGTTCTGACTTGACCCAAAATCCTCTTGAATGTTTGAGTTCTCTGGAGGAAGGTCTGTTGAGACTGGGGTCGCTCCACTGTGCCCTCCGCCAGACTCATCCCTTTCCTCGGGGGCTTCGCCGCTCTCTACAGGGGATGGCAAAGGCTCAGCATCTCTTTCTGGTTCATTGCCTTGGAAAGCATCCTCGTGAGATGATGGTGTGGACACTGGCACTGCTGCTTCTATGACAGATATTTCAGTCAGTGTGGGGTCTGTGGACTCAGGCAGGTCATAGTAAACCTCAGCAGGTGTATCAGTAATTTCTTCTTCTGGTTCGGTGTCTGGGGTTGACAAGGGAAGGTCTTCATTTTGTTCATCAGGGACCCCATCAGCAGGTTCAGGTTCTTGTAAAACATATATCAGAGAGGGGGTTTTATCATTTATTTTGAGCATGAAAGAAATATACACGTAATAATAGTATATAGGTATGATTGCAATTTAGGTATTTTTTTTGCATCCATCATGTTGCTTCATCTGATAACTAGCCTACCAGAACCTATGTTCAAACCATGATTTGACAAAAAGTTCTCAATAATTAATTTAATCTTGTTTGTTAAATCCACACAAACAAATAGGAAAAAAAAGACATGTTGTCACTATTTCTTGTCAAACAACAGCCGAGTGCAGTTACTTTTCTCTTGTCATCAAAGTGAGTTTGCCAGATACTTATACAAAGAGTGACACCACGTAACTCCCCACAAATTGTCATTTTTTACCTCACTGTATGTCTTCAAATGAAACAGATGAGATGCAATAGGTGGGCTTTAGTGATGCTACTGGATGGATTTGAAAATTTTGAAAACTTTATGCTACTCTCACAAAGAAAGAGAAAAAGCATATTTGTCAAACTATTCTTTTAGATTGCTTTAAGCTTCTTATAATAATCTCACGTCCTACTGTCTGACAGTATAATGTATTCTGTATCAGGTTGTATGGTTTTTACATTGAGTATAATATTGAAACTCAAGGACACGTTTTTTTATGGCTGCAACAATCCATCAAATTATAATATTCTATGTTTCCCTGAAAATTCAGCTTGACAAGCCCGACACATTTGTATCTTTGGAAACTCCACTAGAATTTAAAATGAGTCCTGCAAGTTTGAACAAAATTTGGTTGCACAGCATGAGTTTGTAATGACTCAACCACCAACAGGCTGCTGCTTGTTAATGGGTTTTAATATGATGTATTGCCTCAGCAGGATGCATCTCCTTGCGCAAAACCAAACCACCAAGTCTGATTGTACTGTCATTTCCATTTCCTATGAGAGGTGATTGTTCTGTGCAGATATGTGTGGGTGGAAGGAAAAAAATATGTCAGTGTTTATTTGGAAAGTCCAAAGTTACTCTCAGACTGAGAATCTCGCTGTTTTTCTTATTTCATGAAAGTTGACATCTTGGAGATATGTTCTAATTGGCCAGTAACAGACTAGCCAATAAAAACAACATAATACTTTTGCATGGGGCTATTGTTAAATAATGTGTAGATATACACAGAAAAGGAACTAGATGTTTTTTCAACACCCAGTTAGTGTGGATCAATACTAGACTAATCATATAAAGTGTTGTTTAATGGTAATATTATAAAATGAGTTCCCCCCCGAATAAGCTGCTCCTGTATTTTGCGTCTCTTGCCCATAACGGCAATGAGCTCATACCCCCACCCCTTCCCCACCATCAGCAGAATCAAGACTATGTAAAACCAGACCACGATGGCAAAGTGAGAGTTAAGTTGCAGTTCGATCCTGAGGTTCAATGTGTTAATAGCTCCAAATGGAGTCCAGATCACAATCTAATGTTCGGTTGATCAATAAAGCATGAAGTTCTTAAACGTGTCCCTTCTGATTAAACTTCAACATCCTGGTTTTAAAACAATCTGAAGTGGCCTTACCTTCTGTGACCTGCTCGTCAGGTTCAGCCTCACCTCCGTCCTCAGGCTCAGTAGGTGGTATCTCCTCCACCTCTGGCTCTGCTTCCTCTTCCTGCTCTGTGATAGTTTCCAGTTTTGTGTCTGGTGTTATAATGTCACCAGGCTCCTCAGCAGAATCCTCTGTGGATTCCTGTTCTACTGCTGCTATTAGAGGAGTCTCATCTGTGATGGCAGACGTGGATTCTGGGACGATGTTTGGGATGAAAGGCACAAAGGTGTGTGTTTCTGGTTTGATTGTAGAAGCTTCCAAAGAGTTTTCTATCACTGCCACACTCGGGAAGAAACTTTGGGTGGGAGTGTAATCCTCTGTGGGTGCCTGTGTGGTGTCGTCCTCGGGTACACCGCTCTCAACAGGGTTCATGCCGAGCTCAGCAACTGGATAAACTGTGGTTACTGAAGAGAAGGAGTTAAAGTGCTTTAAAATACTATTCTGAGCCCTAATATAATATTTAGTCAAATGTGAGTATGATATTATGCTTACCAGCCTCAAAGCTGAGTGTCTGTATGTCCAGCGGTAGTAAGGGTTCCTGTTTTAAGGCCTTTGTGATGATGTGCTTCAGTTTAGGAGCATTTACATCCTCATTTGTCTCTGTGTCAGGCTCCTCGAGACCCTCAGGTTCATCCCTGAGCTCTGTTTCTCCATTAAAGACCACAGCGTAATGCATAGACACATCCTGTGAGCTGATCAACAGAACAAATCATGTCAGAAACCCTCATAATAGACAGACCTCGCTTGTAATGGATGTCTGTTAAGGCAAGTCGTATCCCAAAAGAGGATATTTTTGGGGATGTTATATTTTCCTTTGAGACTTGAGCAATAAAACGCTTCAATAAAAGCCATTTCAGGGGAAAAAGTATAAGAAATTTATGTTTTGAGTCTCTAATCTTATTTACGGTGTTGTTTTGTCAAAATCCATCATCATTACCAAGCCCAATTATAGTGCCAAAACTTAAAGAAAACCTTTAATAAAACTTCATTCAACTCACCGAAATCCCAGAATTCGAATCTCTTTGAATCCTCGAACTTTTTCAAGCACATGAAGCATCTATACGAAGAAAAAGAGAGAGACAGAATGACATAGATGTGAAATATATTAAGTAATTAATGCTCCTTTATTGGTTTATGTTGTATGTAATGTTTCTACACCATTCCTACAGCTTAGGCCTATACTGTAAAACTCTCTAAAAACCCACTGGATTATCCAAGAAATGCATTTTCACGAATTTCAGGGCTGTTTTTCTTATTTCATGAAAGTTGACATCTTGGAGATATGTTCTCATTGGCCAGTAACAGACTAGCCAATAAAAACAACATAATACTTTTGCATATGCTGCATTATTTACTGTAAACTAGAGCTGCAACAATTGGTCAACTAATCAATTAGTCTATCTATAATGGTATATGCTATAAACTATTTTGAACAAACATAGACTGTGGGAAACTGTATTGAAACAAGTATTTTTCACTATTTCCTAACATATAGCAACACATAAAGCAATTCATCATGAAAATAATCGTCAGATTAATCAAATCGTTAATCTAATAATCAGCTACTGCAGACACGTGACTGTAAAGGCTCAGTGTTGCAGGAAATGGACCTAAACACATAACTTAGAAGTAGACAGGTTACATTAAAAGGATTACTGCGTACGAAATTCAAAAAAAGGTTTGCCAATAGGTGGTTAATCTTAGAGAACTAAGAAAAGAGGACAAGGCAGACAGGCAACAGTCTAAAAAGGCAGTCACATGGTCATAACAAGCAAGCAATGGCAGGTAACGAAAAGACTAAACATTAATAGTCAAACTGGTGAGGAACACAAAGAAAGTGACACGAAGTGGCCTATATATATGCCAGGGGGCTGATTAGGGGATTGGGAACACGTGTTCATTTGGGTGTGGCAGTCAGGTGACAGCCAAATGTGGAAACACTGAGGACTACTGCAGAGCAGAGAGGGAATAATTACTGTCTGGCAAACTGACAAGTAAGACAATGTACGACGGGAGAGGGAGTACTGAGTATACATAAAGGTAGCTATGGATGCGGGGAGGTGCCCATGCCTACAGGGTTCAGAATGTTGTGTTACGGCACTGATGACAGCTACATGTGGTTATTTTTGTTTTTTAACACTGCAGGATTATACTGTGAACATACTGGAAAAACACATTTGAGTGTGGTGGTTTATTTAGCCTTAACGTCTGCACTGTCTCATTCTTAAATTTAGTTCTCTAAAAAAGAAAATGAAACACTAATGGTTTTACACCAGTAGAAGTGATTCTTAAGAGCTGTGGTTAGAGCCTCAGTCGATGCCTTCTTAGTCGGAGATAATCTATATGATTAGATCTTACTATTTCAGGCTTGTGGTCATTTAGGAGTCTTAGCTAAAGTCCCTTGGTTGCTACCTGTTAAATCAATCAGGGTGAGTTTTACGCTTAATAGTGCATTGCCATATAAGCTCAAAATCATGTTAATCTTATTGACATCTTGCATAATGAAAGGTTTGAATGGTTTGGTTTTGAGGGAAGAATTATAGGCAAAGACAAAGAAGGATATTTTGTCTGTGGAGATGTTCTAGGTGACAAAACCACAATGGCCACAATTGATACTTTTCTTACAGAATTTCACAGTTTCATTAGACTAAAAGACTTTTTAAATGCTGTTCTGCTATCAAGCGGCTTCCCGTGTTTGTGGAAAGGTAAAGCAGACAGCTAAGGCAACTGCTAACATTTGCTTTTGGTCTGTAAATGCACACCCGTCTCTCACCTTGTCTGTGAGCTCTCGTGTAATGTCATTGTACTGTGGAGCCTCTGGGTCACTGAGCAGCTTGCTGTATGTCGGGTCCACAATGGTGACCCTGAACTCAACAATATACTCCTCATAGTTCTCCTTTATCATGTTTGGATCTTCTAGGATCTGACAAAGAGAAGCCAAATGACATTGTTATTAGAGAAGTGCCATTCAAAACAAATATGGTTCTGGTATTTTTAGGATTTACTTACAGCCTCAGCTTCAGTTGGTAGCAGAATCACTGGAGGTGTCCAGGTGCCTGAGACAAAACAGCAACACATTAGTTAATTTATGATTTTATGAAAATGTATTGATAGCTGTTAAAGTCAGTAATTCAGTGGTTTTCATTGAACAGTAGTGATGCATTAGTGTCAAACTCACATTCCCTTCCTGGCTCCGTGGTCAAGTCAAATCTGGAAATAAAACAACATATTTCTTAGGAATTTAGTTTGATGACAATGAATATTAGCTGCACTAAATTTGTGAGAATCTTAAGCTTAAAACCAATATCCATGTTTGCCTAATTTCCCAAATATTAATCTTGCTAAAGTAGCAAAGGTGTAGCTGGTTTGAACATTGTGAACAGAACATGGTTTGGTTTAAAAGTGTATTCTAAACAAAATGACAGCATACCACCAAAGGAACATTCACAAACAAGGAACACAAAATATAAGAAGAAGTTTGCACATACCCTTCACTTTCAGCTTGCTCTGCTACTCTCTGGATATAAGAAACAAGATATTATCTATCACTGATGTACACTTAAGATTGACAGCCACGCAGTCTGAACACAATGCTATAAAAGTGGACAGAAGTATTTTTGTCGTGTTGGTGCTGGACTCACTCTGGCCACCATGTCCAGATGCTCCTGAGAGCTGCTGAAGTTCTGTGCCAGATCGTCCATGCAGAGGTTTTCATGCTGGCAGGTGTAAACCCAAGCTCTGTACTCCTCTGAGTTTGGGACTCTGTCCAAGAAGATCCGAAACGCTTCCCAAATAGCTTCCTGACAAACTGAAGCGATATCATACAAATTTATGGATGTTTTCTTATGACTTTATGCAGAAGAAAATACACCAAACTCACATATAAGTATGAATATGCACCACCATCTTATCTTACTTTAGAAAAACATATATAAGGGATGACTGAACATGGCATTTCATATATTTACAGCAAGGGCAAACATGATGGAAATTATATAATGGAGAAATAAAAAAACATAAACATAAATGGGGTTGTTGCATCTCTGAATGTGGGCAGTTTGCTGTGATTTAGCTATTTATCTGCAATATTACCAGTACCACCATGCTACAATAAATCACAAAACATATTAAACATGATATGAGATACTGGGACAGCACAAAAAGGCACTAATGCCTGTTTCAGTAAATGTCAAACTGTATATTTAAGTCGCTGCATGTCCGTGACATTTTTGTGAATATTACAATCATGAGCACAAAGACCCCCTGAAGCTGCAGTGTGTTTTATCTGCCTCTGTGGGGGAACCAAGCTCCACATTGTCCAATATCTTGATGCCTGTGGGAAATTTATCTTTTGACAAACTCATTTCTGGAGCAATGTGATTACCTCCAGTACACCAAATTAATCTGCCTCCCTTTAAAATCATACGCCACAGCAGCTGTTGTGGAACAAGTTGAATTACTAAGCAATTGTAACAGCCAAGGTGATAACCTTTGCCTCTTAATTCATACACAATGCATCTCTCTTAAACAAAGGATATTTGCATATAACTTCATTAAGTCCATCACTATGTGTATCCCTAAAGTCAGTAAATCTGGTTCAGTACATCATTCCGTGGCATCCTGTCAACATCACCAGGCTCTAAACAATTAAGACGGATAACAAACATCTTGTATGTGTATGTACATTCATTGGCAAGATTTAGAGAATTGTACACATTTGGGGGGATTAAAATATCTTTTTTATCTTTTTCCCAAAAAGTTCCAACTGCTAAAAACATCAAAGCAGACAGATATTTATCCAACTGCTAAGACATCTGTGTTTGATTGTTTTGGTCAGTGTTTTATGAAAAGCTTATTCATTTCACTGTAAGTCATTATTATAGATAAAGTTAAAGTTCATTTACAGTATAAGCTCACATCAAAGTCTAACAGCAGACACTTCCTTTTACCTCTGAGTTTGTAATAGCTCCGATGGCTGCCGATGACTGCTTTTATGGTCTCCTGGGGACACACTTTGACACCTGTGGTGAAGAGTGCTGACCTCTTCGTCCGATGGCCATCCTGCTCCGCTCTGACATTTGTGGTGTGTCTGATCGGTCTGGAGGCTTCTAGAAAGTGTCGATACTTCACATCCCTGAGTCCAGAAAAACCGTGGTCATGAAGGTCTGCAAAAGCAGTCAGTGAAGTGATAAGTTAAAAAAGAAATATAATAATGTGGCAGGATTTTTACAGAATTCAGCACATGAAAGTGTGAGATTTCTCACTCAGTGATATAAAGTGTTTCTGTGGATGACTGTTTCAATTAACAACTCAACACAAAGCCAAAGCCCTTTTTTCTCCTGCTCTGTAGCTAGTGACACATTGTACTTAAAGTAAGTTAAATGGTTTGGAGTTTGTTTCTTCTGCAATATTAACAGCTTCACAATTTAATTACTCGTCATGTAAATGGTTGGAAACACAAATATTGGATACAGAAAAATTCCTGATAATATATGCTGTGATTTTTCATGAAGTAGCCATTTATTCAAACCTACTAGGAGTTTTTAACTGGTTGCGAAACAGTCTGAATTTACCTAATGCCTCTATATGATAACAAGACCATCAGCGAGAAAACTGGTTATCTCTATATAGTTATTCTTAATGCAAGCCCCCGCAGTAAGATTCCCCTTGAAATCAATGAACATAGGCGGTGGAAACACTACCAGCAGAATCAACAAAAAATTGGAAGTTTCATGTTGCCGCTTTAAAGGAAAAAGTTTTATATGGATGTCCAATCAGTGTTGATGGTAAATGTAGTCAACTGAAACAATAAATTCCTCAGTGTGTGCTTCACAGAGTTTTTATGCTTGTGGAGCTGTGCTGGCAGTGCCAACATGCACCAGGATGCATAGCATGTAAGCTTCCCTTTAATATATAGCCTTTGCTAGCATGGATAAAAGCAAAACCACAATTGCAAATTGTATTTAGTGGCAACAAAATACTCTTTAAGTTTGCATTATCAGAGCAAAGGGTTGTTTTAAAGGCGCACTCCATCAATTCTACACACAAAGATCAGTTTATTCTAATGAGTACTACTCAGCAACAATGATAGTGACAATAGTCATGTCATCAAGGTCATCTCAGATTGAAAATTTAAGAATTTAACAGAAAGCCTTTCATAAAATGATATTTGAAAGACTCCATTAACTATCTAATGTCTAATGAAACACACTACCGAGTATCATTATGGGAAGTGTAGGATCCTCTTAGAGCAGGACCCACTGCTACAGTGCACCACTGTAAAACTGTCAAAAACCAATCTTTTTCTCTCTTTTCTCTTATCTAGTATCCACAATCATCAAGAAGTACAACACCAACTACCACCAAATAATTTTCCCCTGGGATTATTAAAGTATTTCTGATTCTGATTCTGATTCTGATTCTGAGTGTTTAATTCTGGCATTACACTGAAAGGTTTATCATACACGGAGGGTCCCTGAGAGTCTATTTTTGGACAATTTAGCAGCGTGTGTCTCTTTGGGGTGCAACGAGTTATTTGAGCCTTTAAATTCATTGTAGTGTAAAAATGTCCAGGGCCTAAAGCTTTGAGGTGCTCATTTGTGACTGCAAGGATACCATTTTGAATGCTGAGTAAGTGCCCAGATGTGCAGCAAATGAGTAACTCTTGCTTCTCTCTAAGGAATGGTTTCCTGAGATGCCCTTGACACACGTTGCATCACTGAAGCTGCAACAGTGTAAGTTTTTTCTAGGCAGCATCCAGGTGCGAATGTGCAGAAAAGCATGCATGTGGATTACAGCTGAAAAGGGACATGCGTGCACAGCAAACCTTAAAGGGATTAAAATGAGGTACAGGTGGATATCCAGCTGATTTGAGTGATTAACAAAAACAATCCCACCACTTGAAAACATTCAGTGTAATAACACTGACAGGCTTATTTCCATAAATTATATCACTGAGACGTTGTACACATCATGAGGAGAACTGCCCTAATTTCCTGATCACCTTAGTAAAGAAAACAAGCTCAGCCACCCTGGTGAGGCATTACAGGAAGGTAATTCCACACCATTACACAAGCCAGTGCGCCAGTCAACACTCTCTAACACAGTCACCCCATTGAATAAAGCTATTTTAGAAGAAAGGCACTCATTGTGATGCCAGGTGGCAAACCTCAGAAGACTTTTTAAGACAATAAGCCAGGATTTATGAGCCCCAAAACACAGACTTGAGGTCATTGGACCCAAATAACAAACTGCGCCTCCTCTAGATTAGGGTACAGAACAACAACAGAATAATAAAAAGAGCAAGTGAGTGTAAAAAATATAATCACTGTAACATTGGCATCAGAGGCAGCTTTTAGCTGGAGATACTACATTTTTATGAAGATACAAAAAGACGGGGGAAATCTTTGTGCATTAATGCTGCATAGAGTTGTGCTAATTAAACTTAGTCATGTCCAGCATTGGGGACCAACAGTGGACCACAAGCACAAGAAGAACAACACAGGAAGAGTCCAGAGAGTGCATGTTGCAAGCTGCAAGTGTGTGTATTTTCATTTGCATGAGTGGACACAATATCATAAACTAGCTAATGCAATGCAACACATGAGCCCAAGATGCAGTATTACATCAGATAATAATGCGTTTGCATGTAAAACATTAGTGAAAGAGTAGTATTGAATTTTAACAGTGGGCTCTTTCTATTATATATTATATATACATTGAATTGTCACAATGTTACATTATTACATGAACTTATATATATGTAAACAGAATATGTGTTGTGATGGGGTAGCTGGGGATGCAATAAACAAACAAACAAACCACCTTTGTGAAACTTTAAATGGGCTGAGCTGTTGTTGTAGAACATTATGTAAGTATGTGTCACTGACATTGTGTCCACCTCCTATATGTTGCCATAGCATATGTGAAGTAAGAAGGTCAGTTAATATTTAGGAATTAGAATTAAACTTACACAACATAAAAATGTTTGAAACACTTTGTTAATCACTGTACCACACGTAAATAATAACCTCTACAATGAACAATATTGTTTTCCTCAAATCCAAGATTGGCCTCACACCAAGAACATGCAAAGAATGTGTGGTCATTGACATTGTAGCCTGTGGCTTACTCCACAGTATAGTTACTGCCAGGCAGAGCCATTCAGTCATTCATCTCAGCAGGTCAGAAAGTGGCCTGAAATGTAACCAAATCATGTGTGTTTTCATTAGTACACCACTGAGACAACACTTGAAAGGGTTTTTAGGAATCGGTAAGCTTGAAGCCTGACTTGCACATGCAGGGACACGAGGACCTGGGTGAGAGGAGGGAGTGTTTGAATAGGCCTTAATGCCCAGTGCAGCCGCAAAAAGGCCTTACAGCAGAATTACAAGCCAGAAAAGATTAGCGTCCTGCGACACTGGGAACAGAATGGCTTTTGTTTCCTTCAGGATAATGAGCTCACCCGGGCACATCACACTGAACGAGACAACCAGTGCGGACGCAAATGTTATCACTGGTGAAATTATGTTATCTTCCTCAGTGAACATCTATTATATGTCTCGGCCCGTTTAATTCATAGTGAATATTCATGACCTTCAAAGTGGCTCGCTGGCTGCTTGACATTTTTCTAAAAATCAAAGAGGATGAGTTTGAGAATGAGCTAGCATTTTGTATGTGTTCTGTTTGCAGAGAGTTCTTTAAATAGCAGAGTCACACATACACACACTTCCAACTAGAAAACCCTGTTGCCCTTGAAGTGGATCTCCACCACTTTAAGTCTCCTGTCATGCAGAAAAACCTCAATGACAGAAAACCTGCAGAAAGGTCTTTACAAAAAGGATACTTAAAGTAATGTGGAGAGTGACCTCTTTTAGTCCTTCTTGAGGCAACTGTCTTAAAGAGGTATGTAGAAATATTATTTCTGTAGTATTTTATTGACAGGATTACATCTGGATTTGCTAAAAGTGCAGCCCTAAAGAGTTGAAAGTTTGTTCATAAAGAGAGTTGTCCAGCACTACTGGATCCTGCTGTGTGAAAACAAACAGCATCTCTTTCTCCAATCACACTACCAAGGCAAGAAAAATCTCAAATATGTAACCAGCCTGTGTACAGGAATCTTACCTTTGATTCGACTTGCCTGGAGGGTAAACAGACACAAAGTGAAGAGTAGTCCTGACTTCAAAAGCATGATGTGCTAATTTATGTGGTTTTCAAGCCTGAAGTTGTCATTTGTAAAGAGACTGTTGCAAACAACAATCAAATCTAGAATCTTTTTATCTTGAGTCCATTAGCTGAGAGTTCAAAAGTCTCCTCATCGGTGCAGATAAAGTCTTCAGCTTGTTAGGAGGGAGTCTGGTCCACTCCTATCTGTGCTCCAGCTCAGTTCTTCAGCAGCAAGTTAGTTCCTGGATGCTGTTGGATCCCTGTAGACAACAGAGGTGGCTGCATGGATGGATGAGCAGAGGGAGCGAGGGAGGGAGGAGAGGTATGGGAATGAGAGATGATGAACTGATTGGAATTTTGGCTCAGGAGTATCCTTCTGCGCTGTCAGTGTGACAACAGTGACGAGGTTAAAAAAGCAGGCTCCTTTTTGAGTCTAATCTCTTTACCTTCTTCTTGCTGCTTGTAATCCCTGTGGGGCCACGTGGCCGCCCAGCCTCATCCTGTTAGCTGCCTTCTGGACCCTCATCTGTCGGCTGGACAAACTTGGGGATCTACCAAGCAGCCTAACTGCTTCCCACAGTCACCCCAAGTTTCGTCACCGACACCCACACTCTTTGCGTGTCCGCCTCAACCATTGCCCTTGTCCGACTGCCAAGCTCTTTCTCTTTTCTCTTTCAGTTTAGATTAATTTTGGGTGCCAAGTTTTGTTCTGTACTGTACCCCCAGCTACTAGTCAAACAATGTGCCTCATTCTTACTCTAGCTGCACAGCCAAGTTCAGGCCTCTTTTCTGACTGTACGTGCAGTGTCCTCATTTAACCCTGTGTTCTGGCTGTTGGGGATGCACCTGTTTGATCCTCCTGCTCCGTTGTCTGTACTGTTACCTCTGACAAATAAACTCCACTTCCTGAGGTGTCTTTTTCTCGCTCTCTTATTCCATATTCAGCTTGAAGAACTCTCTTCTTCTCATGTCCCATCCAAAGATTGCTTCATAGGGAAAAAAAGAAAGCAGGGTCAGGATCTGTTCCTTTGCATGTCCACTGTTCACTGTGCATCTGGGTGCTGAAGGTGATGGCTGCAGTAAAAGAAGTGAGTAGAGAGACAGTGGAGGCATGTGTGGCCTCTCTGTTATCGGGGGTTGGGAGTCTCCATGTTGTTAGTCTCCACCCTCACCTCTTTAGGAGAAGAGGATTAGCCGCCCTTCTTGGTTGTTAACAATTTGCTGCAGTAAATAAGCCTCTTCAGGGGCAACATAATCCACCCAGGCAATTTTCTGACACAGTAATCTGAACTTTGAACTAATGATTGTGGCTCAAAACAGTATTAAAGCAGTTTCTTGCCATTTGGGGGCAGACCACTACAACAGCCTGAATTACACATACACATTATTTTAAACTGATCAAATTACCCTTTTCCTGTGTGTTTCTGCTGACCTGATTGGGAAACTTGGAACTTACCCTACTATTACAATTTATTTCTTCTTGTAAAAATCTCAATTGTATTTAAATTTGATGATTATGATTACTATGATTATTGAGGGATATATTCTGTTTACCTCCTTGGTCAGAGGTTATAGGGTGAGGGTATTTACTGTCTTGTGAAGGTGGTAGAATAAGTTATATCATAGCATTACAGTGCAACACTCAATGTCAAAAGCTCCAACTTTGCATTCATGATGCAAAATGGCTGACAGCAAAAGCAAAAATTAAATCTTTTTGTCCCACTATATGTTTGTGGAGTTATTGCAAGACTTTGAAACTTTACAAAAGCAATCAGAAGTACTTTGCTAAGGCACAGTAATGACTTTCCCTCTGCAAAGGATGGTAGGTTATGTTCCTTGATCGCCACTTTCCATTTTTACGTTTCATAACCTCTAAGACATAGCCTCCCTAGGTAAATGAAAATGAAAATGTACATATAACTATACATGTATCAAAGAGGTTTAGACTTCTGAGTCCCCTATTTCATATTTTGCAAATCAAACCTGACCATTCCAGCATGTGACCCTGACCCTAATCCTGAAGGATTAGGGTCAGGGTCACAGATCAGGTGTTGTGGTCAATCTTAAATCAAAGATTTTTGGTTCAGTGTAAGGATTAAGGATACATTTGACATTCAGCCCTAAGTGCTATTATCAAGTTTAAGTCTAAAACAAGCTGACATTAATGCAACATTATTGTTGAATTTTTGCATCACTTATGCATAAAAGAAGCCTAACCTTGTAGCTGAGTCTTGTAGATTAATAATGTATTTTTAGTTTCACTGTATATTCATGAGTCACTTTGCTATTTTTCCAAAGATAAACAAATCTTTGTCAGTCTTAACCAGGATTTTATTCAGACAAGCTTGACCTTCTCTCACTGGCTGATGACTTGAATCATTGTCCAATTAGAGGGGGTCAGTTTAAATTATGCAACAGAGGGAAAGTGGTACTTGCCATCTGTCAGAAGGGGTTATTTCATTAGGGACAGAGCCAGGGTGTCTCTGGCTGGCAGGGTTTGGCACAGCAAAAGACACCTCTGCTGTTACATCCATCATCTGTATCTATTACAGTATGTATCTGTGCATGTGAATGTGAATACCTGTATGTGTGCATGCATGTGTTGCCGCTGTTACACTGTCATTATTTTATGTCATATTTTAATCCTTTACATTTTTCTACACATAATTGTCCATTTTCATACCAGTGATTTTAACCTAAACACTTCATGTAACAGCTGCCAAATTGGCTGAACAAACAAATGTTGCACAGTGGTACCAGACCAATCAAGACACTGTTAGTTAACTGGTACTGAAGTATTTCTTCATTAAAAGAAGAGCAAAGAACGGCACTGAAGCCCTTTTCTCAATGGAAGAGATGCTTTCACTCCCCTCCCGATTGGCTTCGGTAAGAGCTTCACAACGTTAAATGGTTCAATGATCTGACTGGTCAAAGTATGCACATTATAGACGGTGATAGACAGATGGTTTATCCAGTCTCCTGCCAGGAATTATTTTAAAGTGCCAATGACGACTTTCCAGATGGTTCTGTGTAACAAACCACCAGGTGCAGTCAGGTTAACAAACTGTGGAAAGTGTCAGGTCTGCTGCCTGCTGGAACATGTTTTAGCCAAAACGTAGGCAGAAAAAATGTTGAGTGCCAAGCCAAAAGATTTGTGTCTAACTTTGCATCTGTGTTTCATTGTATTTGTGCTTCAGGCACAAATAATGTTCTCTGTCCCTTCTGCATCCCATCTAGGTGCCCTCCATCTCTTGTTGCTGTTCATGCAGTGTGTGTCTGGATGTGCTGTACCCCCTCAGTGTCAGCGCTCTGGTGGTGAGGTGTCAGACAGCAACTTGATGCCTGTCACTCTTTTAAAGTGCTAACAGCAGCTTCAGCAGCAGTTAGTGATAACGTTGTTTTTGTACAGTTATCAGTGAGGTCAGAAACACTTCCTACACATCCATCCTAGCTAGCTAACTAATGAATCTTCGCTCTGTATCGCTAAAAGGTAGAGATTAAAGATTGATTGATGGGTGAACGTAATGATATTAGTGGTTGAAACTGGTTAGTTCAAGCTTATGTAAGCATGCGTCACATTTTGTGTTACAGGAACAATAAATTATTGGATTTTGATATAAAAATACAAAGAATGGGGGGTTAGTCATTATTTTGGCATACATTGTTAAATAGGTGTACAATATACGTGAAGATGAGATCTTAAAGGGTTAAAATTCCATTTTTCATTTCACCTGGACTTTAAAGAATTCAGTAATTTTGTGCAATGTTGCTTGGTGCATATGGACCGAAGATTCTGACTTTGTTGCTTCATTCAGGTTTTGTTCGTCTGTCAGGCTCAGTTTTGTTGCTTTATTTTCTTTAAGGAAAATGTGAAAGAAAACATTGTTGTCCAAAGATTGTCCAAAGGCAGAGTACTGTATTTGCATAGTTTAGGCCTTATGTATATGTTCCATAGCAGTTATATAGCTTCGAACTTTAAAATATCTATTTTTTCAGTTTTACTGCTTGTGAAATAAAACCTGAAAATATTTCAATACAACATAAAAAAAACTTGTGTGATTCATTTCCAGTGAGGTCTCAGCTTTTTAACCTTCCTTCCTGGAGAGCTGAGAAAGACGAGTGCCTCAGGGCTACAGTCTAATATTAGTCATGTTTGTCGTAATGCTCCTCTTTGGGAAAATCCACTCTGGGCTGATTATCAGTGTGATCCACTCTACTAGACCTGCAGCAGTGAAAGTGCCATTGCCAGTGTGAAGTCTAAGTACTTGTGCCAACAATAACTCTGTGACCTACTGGAGTTCATACGTGAGGATGTTCTTAGTCTTCTTTAATCTGTGATGAAGATCTGTTCATAAGTGTAGTAGCCTTGAGATTAATGCCGCTGAACTTTTGGCACCCTTGAACCCATTAACACTTATTTAGACATGTATTAACTGCTGTGTGGACACATCCTAAAGGTCGGTTCTGGTAAAATGTACAAGATGTACAGTTAGTGCAGTGGTAGTAACAGGCTGAGATACTCTTTTGTTCTGTATTTAAGGGCTTAAAAGAGTGGAAGTGAGATTGGTAGGAAAAACTTCCAAGGTCAACATCAAGCAAAGCAAGTGGATTGTAAATTTACAGGAAATAAATTAGATTTACAGTTAACCAAATAAATAAAATATGAAATATAAAAAATTTTAAGGCGTTGAGGGTGTATTGGGGTGACTTGGATTCATGACCTCAGTACTTCTAAAATAAAAAAAGAGATTGCTGTTGTAAACATACACAAACATAAAAGTCAGTACCAGTGGCGGCGCCAGGGAGGAGCTAGGTGGTGCTGTAGCTCCCCCTATAATAGCCACAGCAC